TGAGCCTTTGAAAGGAGAATCCTTTGGGAAAATAAGAACCGAGAAGACTAGAGTCCGCCCATGAAGGTAGTCAAAGCTATAGTATCATCAACATTCTAAATCTATAGGGACTTGTTGGAAGAATAATATTGAATTATTGAATATCAAAAATAAATTTATATAAATAAAATAGGAACTATAGTTGGTAGTGAATGGGGAGTTGATGAATAATTACAACAGACACACAGTAGAATGTGATTGGAGGAAGGCTTAGTATGATAATTTAAAAAAATCAAATTCTAAAAAAATAAATCCTCATACAAATAATGAAGATCTAATAAGATTTCATTATGGAATATGGAAAAATGCTTAGAAAAATTATTCTATCATCAAGAAAGAAATTCTTTCAATCACAAAATGCATTAATAAGTTCGAAGAGGAATTATTACAATAGGAATTTTTGTTAGGCATACTGTGAAAACCCAAAAAAAAAAAACTACTAAATTAATTAAACGGGTAATATGACATTAAGGCTATTGGATTCGTCTTGTGAAAATGAGTTGGGTGTAAAAAGTTCATTAAATTTTGGGACAATTGAAAAAATCATGCATTACAAGGTGAAAAATGTAATCGGGCGTCACGCGATTAAAATTCTAACAACTAGACTTTTATTTGCGAGACCTACAATGTATTTAAAATAACTAATCAAACCAACCTTATTCACACTTGACACATGTCAAATTGTGATTGGCTTTGTGAGATTTCAAACCAATCGAAAGGTGACGTTTGACAATCTCTACACCAAGTATATAAAGCTTTCATTTGGAAGGCTTGGCTTCCATTCTTCCTTGCCAAAAACATTGGAGGGAGAGAGAGAGAGAAGAGCTTCCAACTTATCCAACTTCTCTTCGTCTTCCTTTACACATATCTTCCAATCCAACAATTGAATCTGATCGGCCAAGAACGAAGATTGCTCTACGCGTTGAGTGCTATCTATCAACACAAAACTTACCTATTTTTCATCACATTTTTACGTCCGGCGTTTTGGGCTTGGGTGTGGGGAAGGCAAGAGAGTCCTCACCATCATACTACCTTAAAAAATGAGGTGGAGTTCCCTTCTATTTAGTACTAATTCCAAACTAATATGTGTAGGTGATATGGGTACACATGTATACATATGTTAAATGGGTGTTTAGCATGTGGCTAGTACAGTTAATTGTGCTCATATTTATTGAACTAACAAACATTTTGTATTAATAATTATGTTATTGGGTTATGAACATGTTGCTATGGTTATATTGCTCAACATTCTAGGTATGTAATTTATGCACATTATGTTTTTGATGAAATGCCATGATGATGACAAGCATGCTAGATGTATAAGTGTGTGCATATTATATGTTGGAAGAAATGCTAGATGATATAAATATGCATTTCTTTTGATAATTTAGATTGTATGTCCATTTCATTACATTTGGGCACACATGACATGTGCACAAGTATTGCATCACATGCACAATGCATTGGCATGGTTGGTGTTGCATATACATAGGTTGGTCACTTACTCGATTGAGTCTCACGGAAACAATGATAATAAAATTATGGGGTATTAGCAAGAAGGGATAGATTCTCTCTCGGGTACAAGGCCTGGTTATGTCGGTTACACACTTATCCGGTGGTGTAACGAGCCTATAAGTATGTCGGTGTACGCAGAACTGGGGTTGGGAGTCCTTAAATCCGTGTCAATTTGGTAAACCATTAGTGGAAGTCCATAAATATCCTATCCCAAAAAAGAAAAAGATAATAAAAAACAATTTATTGAGTTAACTCGATGGTGTGGACATGGAGTGCCTAGTTCATGACGTTATACATGTTGTGGGAGCCCAAGTTAGGTTCAAAGTTGGTTATGTATGCATGAAACATCACCTTATGTCATGGCATAGTTGTTAGAGTTATTTAATGCTACACATTACATATGTGAGCACTTGATGTTTATGAATGTGTATCTCCCATCATATGCATCATGTGTTGGGAGGCATTCCTTATAGCAAATACCCTAATGAGCTTTGGCTCACCCCATCGTGGGAAAAATATTTCAGGTGTATTAATGCTTCCGTGGATGACCCGCATTTGGGCCCATATTAAGGATAAAGCCGAAGTTGGAGCTTTTATTTTGGTGGATTCTAAGTCCCACTTGTATTGAATTAGGTAGCCTTGTATTTTGGTTTATACAATACATCTATATTACTTTGTAAAAGCATGTGATATTGGAAAAATTGCATCTATTCTTTTAACTAGTGAATGAATTGTACAACTGGGCATATAACCTCTAACTTAAAGACCTTACATGTTGCTTATGGATTTGTGACTTAATGTTTAATGCATGGGATTTTGCTTAAATATTTACATTGGACCTTGTATGGTCATTGTCACATACAAGAGACAAATTGTATTTTGGGTGGAGTTCTCTATTGAAACTTCAATATTGCAATATTTTATAGCTTAACATATTTACTTCAGGTTTCCTAATGTATTAATTTGCTTTACTTAGTATAGTTCACGTGTTAAGCCTTGATTCTTGTGATTGTAAGTAAATTGGGTGTAAAGATTGAGTTTAAACATTAATAAGTTGCTAAGGGACAAGTTAGAATTGAGCTTGCTTGAGTAAAGAAGAAGCTGAGAGTCTTAGAAATATTTTGGAACAAAAGAAAATTTCAACCGATAGGAAGGCAGAAGAATGAAGGTTCTACTGATAGTAATTAATTTCTATCGGTAGTTTAAGCTACAAAAGATTTGTGCATAAGTCCTTCTGATAGGTGGTTCACGTTCTAGTAGCAAAACTCACATTACTTTGCACTTTTTCATCAGAGAAGTCCTACTGATAGTTAAACATGTAGAAAAACTTAGAGTACTTTTGTCAGAGAAGTTTTACTAAATGTTTTACCAGTAGCAAAAGCTACAGTACTTTTAGAAGTTTTATCAAACAGAGGTTCTACTAGTAGGTTTTACTGTTCAATCGGTAGGTTGAGACAGATTTTCTCAGGAAACTCAATTAAAGATCAAATCTTGCCATATCTTTTGGGGATTTTTAACCAATAGGAAGAGGAGACAAATTGGAGGAAGATATTTACCAAAGATTTGAAGATTCTTCTTCCAATCAAAATAAATATAGACCCTTTGGGAAATACACAAAGGGTTGTAGGATACGTTTAAGTTTTTTTTTTTCCTTTGTCATTTCTGTTTGAAAGTCTTTGGGTTATTTTATAGAGTGTTGAATTATTCTTTTTTTAATTTCAGTTCTTTGTTCAAACAATATTTACATTCAGTTGTCTTTATTTTTGAAGCCTTGTTATTTACATTCAGTTTTTCAATACATGCAATCAATTTCAATTCAATCTTTGCCTTTCTAAATTCATTTTTGTTTTCTTTAGTGCTTTGAGTTAATTTCCATTATTATGAGTGAGTAGTCTTCCTTTGAATAATTCGAAGAAGGAGTTCCAACCTATGAACTAAGGCATACGCTCTAAACTAGGGTTTTAACGTTTATTTGATTGATTGAATATGATATGCTTCCGAAAGCCTAATTAGTTTGAATACGTTCCGATTATCTATATACAATTAGTTTTGGTAAAGATAATTACTAATTTTTCTTGCGACCGTTAGGATATTGATTCTTCCACCATAAACCATCTTTCAATTGCTACATTAGTTTTTTCAAAGTTTTTAGTTGAAAATCATCCATCTATTGTAGTTTGAATACGAAAGCAGAACAGTTATATTTTAGGGTATAAACTCTTATTCATAGGTGGTACGACTTTTAAAGATTATCAAGTTTTTCATTTATTGAATTTCAATTTCATTAATAGTTAACTATCAAAATTTTCAATTTCAAATAGCTTTTTCCTAGTATTTTTCATCACATTGGATTCCAATTCTTTCACTAAGGAGACGACCTTGGACTTTTTGTTAGAGTTACTATACAATACATTTCTATTACGCTTGGGAGGTTTTGTGAAAATACAACCCCTTTAGAGAGGAAGCACTCTCTATACATAGGAGACCTGCCAAAATTTCGTCGAAATTGGTCCTCTAGGATTAAGGTCTTAAGTTAATTAATAAGGTTAAATGGATAATAAGGACCTCGGATTTTTGGGCGTCACACATAGATTGTAGCATTGCAAAAGATATTTTAGAAAAATGATATTAAGAACTTAATGCCTAAATAATTATTTGCTCAGTGGTAGGTAATCTTATCTGTTTATGATTTTAAAATAGAATAATAGGAGAATCAAACTCCTTTCCTAATTTCCTAACAAGGGAATTTTTGCAAGGTTCCTCATGCGTAAAAATCAAGAGGTAGAGGAACTAATAGTTCTCAAAGAGGACGAGGAGATAATAACACGAGAGGAAAAGGTAGAGAACTTGTACATCTTTCTAATTATTTCTTCCTTTCACTAAAAGCAACAAAATCATATTTTGGTTCTCTGAGATCATCATCTTCTCAAGAAATTCCTCAGGATAATAACAAATCTTCTAATAAGAGGAAATTAGCTAGGGATGTTCTTCTCGACAAACCTGACTCTCCAATGTTGGAATATTTCCAAAATCCTAATACATATATTGTTCTTTTTTCTTAAAAATAATTAAGTCCAGCGGATGCAAAATCCATATTATATTGCAAATCAATATTTTGACCCATTAAATTTTTAATCAAGGATAATAGTTTCTCAAATGTTTTATGAGAGAATTCTTATTGAAACTCAGTCAATTCAAATTTGGCTTTTGTGCAAAAATGCCTCTACTATTTCTTTTAGTAAGGTTGCAAGCAAAAGAGCATTTCATTCTTCTGATTTGGGATTAAATCCCAGATATCCGTTCTTCTTCTTCGTCTTTGCACTAATTTACATTGTGTAGGAATTACCAAATTGGTTTTATTATTGGCAGACAAGACATAGCCCATTTGCCAATTATCTTATAGAAGATCTTGCCACAATATATGGTACTTATAAGCGTCTCAATCCTCATCCCAGAGCAATCGAAGGAGAAATGCTCCTAAATTGTCTAGAAAATTTTGGAATTCCATTGCTCCCCCCCCCCCCCCCCCCCCCCCTCTTCTCCCTCCCCCTTTGAAATTATAAAAACACTGAAAACAAGCAGCAGAGGAATACATGTAATGCCTCATGAATCATGATCACTTGGAAGATGGAACACACTAAACTAAGTTGTATTACCTTTCAATTCTCTTTTTGATGAAGGGGTGCAGGGCAAGAGAGTAGCTGGGAATGATCAAAGAAAGGGTCTCCCCAATGAAAGGAAGGCCCATGGAATCAGGAGGGAGGACTCCATTTTTGCTTTTTTTTGGGTTCCTCCATTTGTAGATCCAGTGAGTGACGCAGATGACAAGCAGTACTGCCACCACCACGCACAACCCGGCTGACAACATCTTCGATTTCTCTTTTCGGGTGTAACTGACCCCAAATGAATAGGTTTTTACTTGTGTTGATGTATATGCAGTGGACATTTTCTCAGGCAGAAACGACAAGGTGGTAGGCTGTGAACAAGAGTGAAGCATCATTTTTTTTGAATCTATAAGAATGAAACACGTGTGTATCTATCATCATTTTGACAAGTCAAAATTATACACAAATATATATATATTTTTATCTTAATATATTATACTATCCATGCAAAAAATTATATGAATCTATCTACGGGGGGGCAAGAGGAGCATGACCCATTGTCAAATATTTTTTTATTAATCATATATAGATATATATATATAGTGGATCTGGAATAGGTATAACTGCAAAGGTTTGATGGAATCTGCATAGTATAACTCCCATGACTCTTATTTTTCCAAAATTACCATTGGTTAGTCCAATGTGTACTGCTGATATCATTGATTAAGGGGTCCTACTTTGGCATTTCGACGGAGTGAGTAAATCTAGTGACTGGTGAGTAAGTGACACCGGAGAGAGAGTGGAATGAAAAAAAGAAAAAAAAAAAAAAAGAAAGAAAGCTTCCGCAGGAAATCACAGAATTTATGGGATATGAACTAGGGAATAAAAAAAAAATTAAGTGTTATACGAAAAATGATATTAAAAAAGAGTTTGTATTTATTTATTTATTTATTTTAAATCATTGATCTTGAAACTACTAAAGTAAAATAAATAAAATGATAAAATTTATTAAATTAATAAATTAGATTCAAAACACACTTTTGTTAACTTATCTTTTAATTTTTGTTATTTATTTTATTTCATCAAAAACGCTATCTTTGACGTTGACAAAATAAATATCGAATTTTAATGAAAGGGTCATATTATAATTTTTTTAATAAATTAAAAATAAAATATAATAAATTTAATCTCTGAAAATATAAATTAAATTTATTTACATATTTCAAACTATAAAGTACAATTTGCGTTTATTTTAATTCAAATGTTGTTGGGAAAGGAAAAGTAAACAAGTGTGTGCTGTTTCTGATTAATAGAAAACATCTGATACAGTTTCGCAGCAACCCCTTTTGCTTAGCTGCATTCCTTCCTTGTCGTCGTCACCAGTAATGACAATAAATAGAAAAAGAGCCGTCAAGACTGACCATGTACATAATAATAAAATATTATATATTCTAAATTTTTATCTCAACTCCCTATTTCAAAAGAAGGAGAACATTGAATGAGATCTCCGTCCGTCAATATTTACAATTTTTTTAAATAAAACTAAATAATTTAATAGTCCTCCTTAATTTAAAATAAAAATTTAAGATAAAAACTTTAAACTCGTGACATTGCTCTTATTTTATTACAACTACCGCAGACAAAGGACATTTGTTTGAAAGGTCCCATAACTAAACGGCACCGCTTTGATTGTAGCAAAATCCCAAGAAATTTGGTCAATAAATCAATGTCAAAATGGCCATTGCTACTCAACATTTGGAGTAAAGTGGGTGTCACCAGTCAGCACCAATTGCTATAATGCATTGAGTTTTAGATAAGGAGCAACCTCGCTTGTTTCTTTATTCACTTAATTGGCTAAACTTAATTCATCACATCTTTCAAGTTGACAATGAACTTTAATATTAGTTGAAACCCTCTATTAATACACCGACTATAATTAATTAAGTTATAATTTAAATTAAATTTAAATAATATTATAGAGGATATGTATTATATTATATAGGGGTTGCTATCTGCTCCCAACTAAACTTGCCCCTTTATTTTAAGAGGGAATTATACTTTACACCCTAAAAATTTTTTGAAATCTAATATTGCACCTTCAACGATTAAATTTATTAATATTATGTCATCAATATATTGAAAGTGTTGCAATATAATTATTCTGACAAAAACAACCTCCTAGCAATGGAAGCTAAAGGAAATGTCATCTTCCAACACTCTCAATATATTAAGGAAATGACATATTTTGTTAAAGTCAGTGTATCTACGATACTTATTAGATACTTGATGATACATATCAGATACACACCAAACGTATCCAAAATTAAATAAAATATATAGATATTTTGCGGATAGTACTATATTTATCAAAGTCTGTGTAATTTTTAATTTTAATCTTTAACCATTCGTTTGAATTTTCACATATAATACAATACATCAATAACAATTCATATGGCTTTACATATGGATGTTTTTCAAGTAACATTCATTATCACATATCCAAAGAATAGAAATGATTTGATTACGGTATAATTTTAGCAACAAACACTTCTAACCAGACAATCTAACTAAATGGTGGTTTTTATTCATTTAATTAATTACGCTTATTTTGCAGACGTACTTCAGTGAAACAATATGTAAATTTTTGAAAATAAAAAATTATTAATGTTATTTCTTATTATTAAAGAATAACTAAAAAATATACCTATATCAAGTTATTATAAAATAGTATAAATAAAAGATATATATTTTTATAAACGTATCCTGGTCATATTCATATCATATTTTTTAGGATTTTGTCTTATCGTTGTACGTGTTTCATATCGTATCCGTATCTCCTATCTACATCCATGCTTCCTACCTTCTAACACCATTTTCACAGTAACTCATGTTTCTTTGCTGCATTCCTGTTTTTATACTCACTATGGTTTCACTATTCTACCTGTTCTTTCTAGTTTCCAAGCTTTTAATCTGTATCTTAGATTTTCACTCGATGCCATATGTTTAAAGTAAGAAAAAAATATCACGCAACATTTGACTAAATAGACATCCATTCCTTAATTTATCCAAGAATTATTAATTTGATCCCTCAGTTATTGATTCAAATTTAAAAAGCTAAAATTTTTCAATTTGAGATTTAGGTTCAATTGATGACAAATGTTTAAACCGAAGCGTACTTTTGATGGAGAGAAAAATAGAGAGGATAGTGGTTTTGCAATTATTTTAGAGTAATATTCTGTATGAAGATGCAAACGTAGAACTGATTCATACATAATAAAAAATTGTAATGCCCCTAGCACCTTTGTGTGATTTGACCCCAAGTATTCATATTTTCATTCAAAAGTTCATTATTGTGTCCAGTGTTCAAATACACATCGAGTATTGAGAGATTTTCAAATTCATTATGGTTTTTTGTTCAAAATCCCTCGATTTTGCATTTCTCAAGGGTTTTTGCGTGAACATATCATCCGGAAATTGCACAATGGTAGCCTAGGAGAATACATCTAGTCTCAATTAAAGAGAAATGTAGAACGTTTCGTTAAGCAATGCTATACATGTCATACCACTAAGTATCATGCACAAAATATCAGACTCTACATCCCTCTACCTATTCCAGACACATCTTGGGAGGATCTGTTCATGGACTTCGTGTCGAGTCTTTCGCAGACTCAATGTGGTGTGAATTCTATCCATGTTGTGATTTATAGGTTTTTCAAAATGGTGTACTTTATCCCATGCAGAAAAATCTCCAATACTTCTAAATTTTTTTAGGAGTTAGTTTGTTTATATGGTATTTCCAATAGCATTATTTCTAACCGTGATTGTAAGTTCTTTAGTGATTTTTTATGGACATTGTGTAAATGGGTGGTACTTCATTGTAGTATAGTAGCTCGAGCCATCCCCAAACTGATGAATAGACAAAGACGATAAAATGAACATTTGGAAATATCTTGCAGAGCTTTTGTCATGTTCTATGATTCTATTTAAATCAATTTTATCAATAATACGTGAAGGGAGAGTCTACGGTACCGTCTGGTCAAACAACGGTACCGTACCAAAAATATGGTGGGGTCATAAATTTTTTAGCATTTAATATTATTTAAATGTGTGATTGTAAATTTTTTGTCATTAAATATTACTCTTTAAAATGATAACTTTGCCTATAAATATAGTAGCATTACCTTAAAGGTTATAACTCACCTCAAATATTTGTAATCTCAGCCGCCATTTTTTTTGTAATATTTTTACTTGTACTATTTGTAACCTAACTTTAAATACTTGTAACCTTACTTTTAATTGTAGTAATCTTATCTAACATTTAATTGTTGTAACCTAACCTTTAAAAGTTATAACCTCACTTTCAAATATAGTACTTTTCCTTTTAATTATTGTAACCTTTAATACCTAACAATTAATTGTTATAACCTAACCTTTTAAGAGTTTGTACCTCACATTTAAAGTTCAAATTTATAAATTTAAAATTCATAAAAGTAACATTAATTTAAAATTTATAAAATTAAAATTCATAAAATTAACATTAATTTAAAATTTATAAAATTAAAATTCATAAAAGTAACATTAATTTAAAATTTATAAAATTAAAATTCATAAAATTAAAATTAAGTTAAAATTTACATTAAATTAAAATTCATAAAATTAACATTAAATTAAAATTCTTAAAATGTAACCTTACTACTTTTAATGTCCATTTATACATTAAATATTAAGATCTATCGTACATAATTTCGATCGAACATATATTTAAGATAGATCGCAAATAATTAAGATCAATCATACAATTCACTATTTTTCTCTCCTTAATTCCAATGTATATCTTTTTAAGATCGATCATTATTATATATGATAATAATAAAAAAAGTATATCCCACTAAGGTTGTAACAAAAAAAAAAATATATATATATATATATATATATATATATATATATATATATATATATATATATTTAATTTGATCAATCATGTTACTGTATGATTGATCTTAATTATCCTTTCTTATAACCTCACCCCTAAAGGTTACTACTTTCCCAATGACAGGAGTAAGTTTACCTCAATGCATTCTGACAATACTAACCTAACCTAACATAACCCCAATATCAACATGTACTGACCTTTCATCATGTACTACCCTTACATCAATTTGTTGTAACTTTACTACAAAATATTTTAACCTTACCCCTAAATATTACAACATTACCTCTCCAAGTAGTAACCTGACAACAATTTATTATAACCTCACTTATAACGATTACATATTTGTCACATACATGAGTAATTTTACTTTTATGCATTGTAAGTGTTCCTTTTTAGTCGATAAACTTACATTTTTTTTCAATTGGTAACTTTAATAAACATTGTACTCCTACCTATAAGCGTAGTAACCTTACCTCTTTATGTTATAACCTCACTCCTAAATGTTACCTCTTTGCCACTAACATCCATAATTTAACCTTTATGCATTATAACTCTCCCTAAATAGTGGATAAAATTACCTTTCAATGGGTAACTTAACCTAACTAGGTGATAACCTTATTTTTAATATTGTCATCTTCCCTATAGAAATTGTAACATTACATCAACATGTAGTAACCTTTCATTAAAATGTTATAACCTCACTCATAACGATTTACATCTTTGCCACTGATTGGAGTAATTCCACTATTATTTGTAATAATTTTTCCTCTATTACTGATAACCTTACCAATTAATGGATAACTTATCTCACGTCACCTGTAAACCTACAAACAAATGTTGTAATTTTTTCTACAAAATTGTAACCTTACTTTTAATGTCCATAATATTAAATTTTAAGGGAAAAAAAAATTAAAAATCTTAAGATCGATCTTACTTAATGTCGATAGAACACATACCTAAGTTCAATCGTAAATAATTAAGATCGATCATACTATTCATTATTTTGATCTCAAGAATTCAATGTATATAACATTAGGATCGATCTTTATTGTGTATGATCGATCTCATTTCCTTATTTCTCCTATAGGGAAGACGCTCCCCCTAGTAAGGTTGTAACATAAGTACAAAGAAAAAAAATTAGATCGATTATGTAAATGTACGATCGATCTTAATTATCATTTTATTCATCGGCTAAGCAAGTTATAAGTTTACATCCAAAAAAGAAAAAGAAAATTAAATTAACAGATCAATGGTTGTACAATAATGAGCAAAACATGAATTTTAATTTAATGTTAATTTTATGAATTTTATTTTAATGTTAATTTTATGAATTTTAATTTAATTTTAGTTTTATGAATTTTAATTTAATGTTAATTTTATGAATTTAATTTAATTTAATTTTAATTTTATGAATTTTAATTTAATTTTAATTTTATGAATTATAAATTTAATTTTAATTTTATGAATTATAAATTTAATTTTAAATTTTAAATTTTGAACTTTAAATGTGAGGTACAACTCTTAAATGTTAGGTTACAACAATTAAAGATTAGGTAAGATTACAATAATTAAAAATAAAATTACTATTTTTGAAAGTGAGATTATAATTCTTAAAGGTTAGGTTACAATAATTAAAGATTAAATAAGGTTATCACAACTAAAAGTAAGATTACAAGTATTTAAAGTTATGTTATAAGTAGTAAAGATAAAAATACCACAAAAAAAAAACGGCAGCTGAGATTACAAGTATTTGAGGTGAGTTACAACTTTTTAGTATTAGTATTTGAGGTAAGTTACAATTTTTTAAGGTATTACATTTATAGGCAAAGTTATCTCTATTAAAGAGTAATATTTAATGATAAAACATTAATAATCACACATTTAAATAATATTAAATACCGAAACATTTGTGGCCATTTCTGTACGGTACCGCTGTTTGAAAGTGATGGCCCACATTTGTCAGGGATGTGACATGATTAGTGTCTTGAAAAAAAACATGGAAAACGCACAACCACAGAGGCAAAATTGGTCAGTGCTGAGACACGTTTGGTCTATTTTGCCACCTTCTTCTAGTCTTTTGCAGACCACCATTGCAAATGAAGGGTGCTGCGATGCCCTTTCCAGTCTCTAGTTAATGAGAATTAAGTGGTGCTCATTTTGAGGGCACGCCACCGGACATTTCTACCTACAAAACCTTAAAAGAAAGAGCTGTAGAATACCACAATTATGGGCTCTAAGTTCTCCTCTCAAATAAGTTTCAAAATACTTATTTACCCAAAAAAAAAAAAAAAGATTTCGGAATAATGAAGTGCCGGCCCTTACCATTTTATTTACTTTTTAATCTAATAAAAAAATAACATAGGGTCAAGTTTAAGGACCAACTATGTTACAAGTTCAAAGGCCCAACTTTAAGAGGTCCAGTTAGTCAAGTCCAAAGGAGTTTGCATCTGGTCAAACTCATTAGGTTTCAGGAGTTACATCAGTACAGGAGCACGCATGATCGTCTAAGAGTTCACCCAAGAGCCTTTTCTACTACCTTGGAGTAATGGTCATCTAAAAGCCTCCTCGCCACCTTAGAGTAAGGGAGCATCTAGAAGCTTCACCCTTGCCGCTCAAAAAAAATCAACCTTCTCTCATATTTTGACCAAATCTTTTGGAAAATATTATAACTTTTTTGCCCGTTGAGAAGATGAGAGGTCGTCAAACTATTTAATTACCGTTAAAGTCACCACAATCCATTATGACTATTAAACAGTCTCAATCCGTTATAACTACTAGACTAGTTATTCAATTACTACACTAAGTTATTATAAATTATAAGTCCTATAAACACTTGGGGCCATCTCACTCATTTTGAGCATAATTCTCTCCTCCTCTCTAAAAGTTTGTAACTTTTTGCTTTCCCACTGTACCGGAGTTAAAAAAATTCCGACAACCCTTGTCATTCCAAGTAGATGTAGGTCATCTTGACCGAATCACTATAAACTTGATCTTTTCTTTTTCTACTTTATTGCATTTTATTTTACTTAATTGACAGGTGGTATGCAAACCAATTTTGTACATCATTAGTTTGTGCGCCGTCTGTGGGAACCAACAAAGTTCTCACGTAAACACTTTCTTTGCTGAATCAAAGGTGATTACCGTCGGAACCCTTAAGTCAACCTGAAGACATTCCACCACGAGAAGAGGAGGTTGCTCCTCCACCTGCCAATCCCATCCCAAATGCGCAACAAATGTTGGACACAATGCAACAGCTTATAGTCCAGAATTAACAAATTCTGCAATTAATGCTCGGGCAATAAGGAGAAGCGCAACCTGGACTTCAAGCAAAGGGAGCTCCACTCCCAAGTCATCAAGGAGCTCCTCACCTCGGTGTTCCCCATCTAGGTGCCCCCTTGGGCGTCCCACCTATGGGGGCTCCCTTAGGCGTCCCACACAAGAGGGCGCATCATGAGGGACCTCCTCCTCCTCCTCCTCCAGCCCTTGCACCTACTCTCCATGGTGAATACCCTCTTTTTTAAGAGGATGAGTGTGAAAATCAAAACATAGAGCATGAGAGTCATGTCTGTGATAATTTTAGGGTACCTCCCCCCAATCACTGAGACGAAAAAATTAAAGAGGTGCAAAATCAATTAGGTGACGTCTTCAACGCCATAAAGGCACAATGACCCGAGATAGTGGATTATCTCCTAAGTCAAACTGAGACACTTTTCAAATCTGAGGTGACAAACTACCCGCTCAGAATTCATAACCATAAATATTGGAAACATACAATTTTGTATCAATCTTTTTTGAGTGCCAAATAATATGTTTATAAAATAGCTCAAAATACATTACAATACGTCATATTGCCTATGGCAAGGCTACGTTTAGTTCTATATAAATTTTCACATTATTTTAATAGAGATTACAAGATGTATAAAAACACCATTACCGTCTTAAAATTACATGAAGAAAATGCTCTCAATATCTTTCTTTCATACAATATTACTTTTACTTCGAAATATTTTCAACCACCAAATATAGCGAGCTCTTTAGTTGTTCTTTGCAGAGATTTTGAATTGAAAGCCATTGGGAAACTTTAAAATAGGGGCTCGCACAAATTTGACATCCTTCACTTTTGTCCATCTACAAAAAAAAAAATCACAATTGTTATTTCTCAGAATAAAATGATAAAATATGTGCGTGAAAATTTTTCATTGTCATAGTAATCAACCGATTTACACGAAAAAATAAGAAAATAATATGTGCATGAGAATAAATCTTGAACATGATTAAATTACCTGTATTTGCTGACCAAGGTGTGAAGGAAAGTTGACAATAACACCCTAGAATATTCTGCTCCTGCGCATTGCTTCAAACCGAACCCAAACGGCATGAAACTTTTGGTTATAAAAGTTGATTGCAGCTCCTATATTTCATGTGACACAAAACAAACACAAGAAAACAAAGTTAGATACCATGAGTTTGTTTTTAATTTACTGTTCATGATAAAAATTTAATTTGTACCTTCCAGCGCCATGGGTTGAATGTTAGTGGATCCTCATATTTGGTGGAGTTCAAGTGCACAGCAGGAGCAGCAATTAATATTGGCCACCCGGCAGGAATTGTATATCCTACAAATATATTATTGTTGGTCAACATCGTGTAATGATCATAAGATACATATATGGCTAATTTCCTATGACTATGTACCTTTGAATTGGATATCTTCAGTTGCTTTGCGAAATAGTCCCGGAGAAATGTTTGCCAACCTAAGAGTTTCATTGATTACCTGTAACGAGTAGATCAACTCTCACATGAGCATAAGCGAGTATAGCGTTTAACAAAAAAAAAGATTATATTGAGATTGTGAAATTGACCTGAAGTGTGAAAGTCATTGATTTATAGTCGCTCCATGTGAGTGGGGAATCGGGGTTCTCTTTGTTTTTGAGGATAGCTTCATGCTCAGCCTGAGAAATGAACAAACATGGTATAACCATATGATTAAAACTCTAGTTCTATTTTAAAAGTGTTACCCAAAATGAAAAACAAAACATCAGGAAAAAAAAAAACAAGAAACACTATACATACAATTAATTCCTGTAATGCCAAAGGATGCTCGTGAAGTAATGTGACTGCCAATGCCAATGTTGTTGATAGGGAATCAGAAAAGACGAAGATAAGACTGTACATTAGTTGAACTATGAATTCTTCTGTCAGGAACTTCTCATTATCCGCTTCTTTCATGATGTGATCGAGCAGGTCTCCACGATGAGAATCAGGTGACATACGTCTCTCTTTTAATTCGACCCTCATCATATCCAGTACTTTCTTATGATTCTAATAAAAATTTAAGAGTCAACGAATGCAACGCTTGTCGAAAATTAATTTCTTTGAGCACAAATAAAATTTATTACCTTTATGCACTTGTGGTACATAGTTCCAGGGATGTTCAAAGGAAAGGACATGAGTCCTTGTATCAAGTCCTTAAACAATTCGCTTATTTGCTCTGGCGATTTTTCGGGATTATAGCTAAACAATTGTTGTGCACCAAAATCTATACTCACCTGCGGGGTGAAATTTAGAAATGTTAGTATCATATCTAGCATGTTAGTATAGTTTTCTTAGCGAGCACGTGCATAAGTTAGATATTTACTGTTGCAGCCTCGCTTTTCACATCAATCGATTCCTTGCTTGCCCACTTGACAAGAGTTTTCTTAGCCAATACTTCAATCTGAGGAAGCAACCTATCTTTGAGGCTCTCCATGCCGAACCAACGCAAAGCGGTATTTCTCACATATTTATGGATGTGAGCAGTATCTGGTTTAATCTCTCCAGATTGTGCAAAAACTTTAGCAAATGCATCCAAGTACCACGATTCCACTAACTTCCCATCTCGTTGCATAATGAAATAGTTGAATTCAGGGTCTGTCGTTACAATGAGAGAGCGACCTGCCACATTTGTTCGAAAAACTGGCCCATATCTGACATTTCAATAGAAAAAATGCATATTAGTCAAGCTGTAAAGCTTTCCTCCAAAAACTCGGAGAAGAGTTCTCTATATCAACTATTGCAAGTTATTTCCATCAAATACAACATCTCCCATACATGTGCCGCTATAATACTGGAAAAAATCATAAATACACATGAATAATTAGAAAACGTATCCAGAATTTGTTAGAAACATAAAATTGGTGCGCTTTTCATGTAGCTCGGAACCCAGTACTTGAAACAGTCGTTCATGTACCTCTCTCTCTCTCTCTCCCTCCCTCTTCGAAATGAAAAAAACACTGAAAACAAGCACCAGAGGAATACATGTAATAACTAATGAGTCATGATTACTTGGAACAGACTAAACTAAGTTGTATTACCTTGCAATTCTCTTTTTGATGAAGGGGTGAAGAGCAAGCGAGTTGCTGGGAATGATCAAAGAAAGGGTCTCCCCAATGAAAGGAAGGCCCATGGAACCAGGAGGGAGGACTCCATTTTTGCACTTTGGGTTCCTCCATTTGTAGATCCAGTGAGTGACACAGATGACAAGCAGTGCTGCCACCACGCACAACACGGCCGACAACATCTTCGATTTCTCGTTCCGGGTGTACAGACACCAAAATTGGGTTTATACAACGAGAAGAAGAAGAGGAAGTGCAATGGTGGAACAAAGAGGGCAAGGTGTATGTGGTGGTGTACAAGAAAGTATTGTTCTTCCTTTTATAGACTCCTGCGAGTGCTGATCACTGGACAGAAAGAGACCACCATTAGGTGGTTGTCTCTGACTAAGGGTGTAGCATCAATTTGTACCCTATAAGAATGAAACACGTGTATATCACCCTTATTTTGACAAATCAATAGATGAATATATTTTTTCATCTTAATATATTATAGTATTTTATGCATAAGTTTATTTGCATGTATCAACCCACATGTGCATATGGCATATCGGTCAGATTTGATGGCCTCTGGAACTGGTATAATAATTTTTTTATCAAAACAAAACATCGAGAATAGTTCTCTTTATTATATATATATAATTTTAGATGTTGAATTATTGATGATGAATTAAAAGTAGTTTATAATTTATTATTTTATATAAAATTTACACATATTATGCTTTGTTTGGTGAAAAATAAAAAATTATTGTACTAATTTTTTTTTTTCTACAGTCAACAAATTGTGCGGCTTTTTTTAATCCTTTTTCTTATGTCATGATATTGAATTTCTGCACTTTCGTATTACGTCATTTTTCTTAACTTCATTCCTCTTTTGTCCTTGCTAGTATAGATTTTAAAAATTAATAAAAAGGAAACGTCAAAACTGACCACATAGATTTTTAAAATGACCGTCGACAAAGGGCTTATTTTTAATTTCTCTGATATATGTTTTATGGTCTATTTAGTTAAAAAGATAAAAAAAATAAGATGAACAAAAAAATAGAAATATATATATTTTTTTATTTGATATATTAGATGAAAAGATAGAAAGATTAATTTTTATTATTTAATATCAAAAAAAAAGAAAAGAAAGAAAGAAAATTCCTCTGCTTAACATTCAGGAGAGGTGTGCAGTGTCAACAGCATGGACATAAAGGTAATTATAGCACCCTCACTCTCTTGTCTCACATTTTCTTCCCACTTCTTCGCCACAAAAAAGGGGCGGAATTTTTGTGTGGACATAATAGAT